GGCAGCTAGACAAAAACAGGTTTCCTGAAGTGTGATCTCTTGCTAAGAAAATGCTGAGCTTATTTGGTTCCACATATTTGTGTGAGCACATTCTCTGTCATGAACTTAAACAAGAACCGATTGAGATCAAGGATGAGTGACTCCCACTTGCGGGATATTTTACACGTCTCAACCACTGCCCTCAAACCAGACCTGATTGCTTTACTAAAATCTAGATCTCAGTATCACCCCTCTCATTAGTCCAGGGATGCCCAAATTCTGTATTGGAGAGCTGCTATGCATGTTTTAGTTCTTTCTGGTTTAGCACAGTTGAATCAAATGAAGAGCAGCCCTCCAGGAGAGACTGCATTACTCATTTGTTCCTGAACAGTAAAAAGCATAAAGCACGCTAATACAATCCACAAAAGGAAACGTATTTTGTTAAACTCTTAAGATTTGGTTTTAACTGTTGATGTTATGCTCTTAATTCATAGTTGAGTGTGTTGTGTACATATTGTGTAAATTTACAAATGTGTTTATTTCTTGCGGCAAGTGAACTTCCAGTTGTGTAATCTTCCAGTAGATGTAAAAAACTTTGGCTTCCTCAAAGGTCTTGTGAAAGTCAAGGGCAAAATTCACTTAAAAAAAAAACTTCATTGATAACAGAACACTTTTCATTACTTATAACTCCTGTTTAAATGTTCATTAGGCAAAGATATTGCAAACTCATGGAAATTTAGGGTATTCTATACAGTTTGTTCAATGTTGTCTGACTCTCCAGATATAAATGAAAGGCGGAATTGTGTCTTTAGAGTTGTCAATGCTTGCCTGAGTGTCTTTTATTTAGGTAAATTTCTATTTTAATGTAACTTTGTTATTGAAAAAAAAGTCAAAAGGAACCATTGGCCCCCAGGCATCTTCACTTTATCAGCTAAGGGCAGAGAGCTAGCCTCTGGGGAGGCCCTGGAGAAAGTAACTGTCTCAAAAGTAGCCAGTTCATGAGAAACACCACAGGTTAATATGAAATTTTCTCCCTGCATGGAATGAATTGGCGAGAATTGTGCCCGAATGGGTGGCTGAGCTAGTGGGGACTGAGCTGAGGGCAGCTGAGCAGCTGATTGAACTGTAGGCTGTAGGTCAGCTGCCTGAACTGAAGGCTGTTGGGCAGCTGACTGAGCTACACCTTGAGCAGGTGATAAACAGTTCTCAGAATTGTCAGTCTGTACATTAGCAGTAGGGATGGGTACCGGTATTCGGTGCCATGATGGCACTGGTTCTGACATCGGTCTGGTAGCAACCAGACCGAAAAGCAGTGCACATTAGTGATGTTCGATTCGTGAACGAATCGTTCAATACTCGAGAATCACTTTACTGACTC